CCCCGCAGAGGGTAGCCGCGAGGCGAGGGGCGCGGAGTGCGTGGTGCCCAGCTTGGCCGCCAGGAGGCGTGGCGCGGGTCCCGTTGCTCGGAGTCGCCGCTGCTGCCTCTGCCGCAACGCCAGTGTCCCTGAGCCGCGGGGTGACGGTGGCTCTCGCCGCACACACCCCTTCCTCCCGTGGGGGGAGCCTGATGCCACGTTCCCTATGAATTATTTATCGCTGGCCTAAAAATACCCCGAACTTCATAGGCCAAGTGTAAGAGGTTCCCCGCGGGTCCGGGCGGAATCAGCGGGGAGGGGGGAGTTAGTCTTGGAGGAGGGAGACCCCCGTGCCCGCGTCAGTGGGGTCATGATGGCGAAATGGTCGTCTCCCCTGACACCTGGGTTCGGGTTTTAGCTCAGCCGGAGGGAGGAAAACCCGACGGTAAAGCAGAGTCCGCTCACTCGGAGGGAAGTGGATCCACAGGAGCCGCGGAGCCTGGGTCCCTCGGCTCCCCCGGAGACAGCGTGGCTGGTGGGTGGGGCCGACTCCTGGGACCGAGGCTCCTGGCCTGGGAGAGGGGACAGCCATCAGATGTCTGGAGTGTGAGTGTGTGTGTGTGCATGTCCGTGCGTGGGAGCCTGCCTGAGATTGGGCGAGCTCATGGAGATGCTCAGGCGATTCAGGGTGATGCTGAGGGTCCCGGAAGCCTGACCATTGCCATCCTCTCCCTGGACCCTTTTTGGGGTCCGGATGTTCATAAAATATTAACAGCCCGTTTGTGAAAGGGGTGGACCCCAAGTGGGTGGGCAGAGGTCTGTAAGACAATAGTCCAGTGTGGGTCGGCGGCATCCTGGGCTGGCAAATACCTGACACACAGCAAAGTAAGGGAAGCCCTAGCAGAGGAGCTCCCCAACCCAGGAGAAGTGGGGGTGTGGGGTGGGGGGAAGGGCAACCGGCCTAGAGCCAGACCCAGACCCTCTGTCTTCTCACCCATGTTTCCAGAGCCTGGATGAACTAAGGCAGGTGCTCTGTGGGAGAGGGATTGAGGTTGGGCTCTGAAAATTCGGGGATCTGTTGTGTAGACAAGAGAGAGGTGGTGGGAAGAGGACATTCTAGCCTGAGGGAACAGCAGAGCAAAAGCCAAGAGACGAGGGTAGTAGGGTCACCCCTAAGTGGCAAGAGTGTGGGATCCACGGAGGGAAGGACAGTTGGTTGGGGTCAGAGTGTGTGGGGCTCTGTCCATGAGACCCAGTGTCTGGGTTTAATTTGTGGGCACCAGGGAGCAGCTGTGCTGTTTGAGGGTTGCAGTGGCCAGAGGAGTGTTTCAGGCCAGTGGGGCCCCCCCTCCTGCCTTGTGCAGGAGACTGGATGCCATGTGGTGCTAAGATTCTGGAGTCTGCATCTCTTTGAATCTGCCCATTGCTATTTTAAGTTCACAGACTTGCCTGATTGGGACTCCTCCCTTCAGAGGCATCCTGCAATCAGTTTCTGTGAGAGGCAAGACCTCCCTCAGTTTCCTCTCCTCAACTCCAGTCCTGGAAGACACGTTCCCATCAGAGAGTCTCCTTGGAGCTGAGGGAGGACTTGGGTCCTTCATCTACAGCTACGTTTTCCAAAAGAAACCACATGAGAGCTCATGAAGGCACAGTAGAAAAAGTAAAAAGAAAGGTGAAATGAATTCTAAGGCTATATTGTGTTTAACTCAATGTATCTAAAATGTTCTTTTGTCGTGTAATCCATATAAAAATATTGAGATATTTTCCTTTTTGAACACCAAGTCTTCAATAGCCAGTGTGTATTTGACACGACATGCCGCAATTCCGACGAGACACATTTAAGTGCCCAATAGTCACACGTGACTGGAGGCTGCTGTGCTGGGCAGCAGAGATCTGGAGCTCAGAGCTGGGAGGCAGAGGTGGGGGAAGCTTTGGGCTTCCCAGAGGGTGGGGAACCTACAGGGACGGGCAGAGATGAGCACAGAGAGGCCTTGCAAAGTGTGGAACAAGCCCGGCAGTGCCCTTTTCAGGTGTAATTTGAAATCTCTGATTGGAGGTCGCTGCGGGCACAGCATGCTCAGGCTCGCACACAAGACACACACGTCTCCAGGCTGACACTGGAAGTCAGTGTACTAGGAAATCACACACGGGGGGAGTTTCAAGGGTAGAAAAGTGAGCACAGTATTCCCTCCCCCGCCAAAACTCCCGTCTTCTCCTCCTGAATTCAACCAGGCCCGGCCTGGTCGCCCTTCCACTCTCCCCTGTTCAGAAGTTTTTTGGGGATGTCATGGTGATGGAGGGGGGGTAAAGCTGTGGCCGATGGCCAGCTGGGAGGGAGAACTGCATGCATGGGTACCACTCACCAGTGTGGCTATTGGTCCCAGTCCAAAGCCATGATGCTCATTTAGCAGGGATACACGTCAGGCCCTTGGGTTATGGTAAAAATCCCCTCCCATCAGTGATGGCCTAGGGAGGCAGCTCATGTGTGAGATACCTCAGGGTTTCAGGTGACCCTGAGCTCCGAACAAATCAACTGGGTCACACACCTGCTGTGGAAGAGCGGCTACTAACTGAGGCAACGGGGGGAGGGTAGGGATGTCCAGTGCCCAGGAGGAGGGGCTCTGAGCCAGGAAGGGTTAAGCAGAGGAGGGTCCTTGGAGATGTTAGGTCCAGTTTAGGATGGAGAATGGTACGTGTGTGTGTGTGTGTGTGTTACAGGGCTGCCTGCCTTCCCCTGGCTGTGGGGCTGTCACCTGTAGGATAAGGATGCTGATAACAGCGGCACCCCTCACACCACTGTGAAGTAGGTCCTGTGATTGTTGCAGGCAAGAAAACATGGCTCAGAGAGGCTAGGCAACTTCCCCAAGATCACACAATTAGTAAGCGGCAGAACTGGGACTTGAACTCAAGCCTCTCCACTCAAATCCATGCACTTGGCACCAGATTAGCATTTGCTGTGTACCTTCCTGGGGCAGAACCCAGATGGATGAGTTTCCAAGCATGGTGTTCAACCATAAAATGGAAGTAATGAGCACCTAGCCTGGCATCTTCTTCCCAGCCCCCGCCCTCTGGGCTGCGCTTAGACGCTCAGCTAACCTCTGTCTCTTTTTCCTTGTCTGTCTGTGTCTGTCTGTCTCCCTCTGTCTCTGCCTCTCTTTGTGGAAGGAGGCTCCCCCTCTTCTCTTTCATCCTCTGGATGTGTGCCCTTATGACTCTGGCCTTCGCCTCCTGTCTGTCTCTCTTTTCTCTTCGTGCCTCTGCCTCCCTCCCCATGCCTATCCTGGTCTCTCTGCAGGACCCTCTGGTGGACATGGTGGGGGGCTCTGGGGCCGGCCTTGCTGCTCACCTCACTCCTCGATGCCTGGGCAGGGCTGGGCCCCGGGCAGGGCGAGCAGGCTGTGATGGTGGCCGTGGTGTTCGGCAGCTTAGGGCCATTGCAGGGCCAGGCCCATACCCGCCTCATCCCCCAGAGCTTCCTGGACCTGCTCCTAGAGATCCAACCACTCACCGTGGGGGTCAACACCACCAACCCCAGCAGTCTTCTCACCCAGATCTACGGGCTGCTAGGCGCTGCCCGCGTCCATGGCATCGTCTCTGAGGGCAACGTCGGCACTGAGGCCGTGGCCCAGATCCAGGACTTCATCTCCTCCCAGCCCCTCGTGCCTATCCTCAGCATCAGTGGGGGCTCTGCCGTGGTCCTCACCCCTAAGGTGCCTGTTCAGAATCATGTCCCCTCATCCCTGGAGCCAGGCTGGGGCTGGGGGAGTGGGGCTGAGTCTGGGCCAGGGAGACACTCAGGTCCTGGGAAGCTGGGATTGGGTGGGATCAGCAAGGAGGTGGGGGCTCAGGGAGACATGGGTGAGGGAGGAGAAGGCTGTGGGGATGATGTTCCCATGCTCTAGAGGAGAAACTTCCTGGGCTGCTTTGACATTTGTGTCTGGATGAGGGCTGGGCAGGCGGCAAACCCACCTCCGGTTCTGGGGGCAACTTTGGCCCACCTTCTCCCTGTTTCTCTGGCCTTCCTTGGTCAGGCTCCAGATCCAGGGCAAAGGGCCAGGCTGGGACCTAATGTAGATGACTGGCAGGGGAGGGCATCCCGGGACAGGCACTGCCTGAGGCCTGGGGTCGGCAGGCCCTCGCAGAGCTGGCCGTCCTGTGGGGAGAAAGTTCCAAACACATTCCTGCCCTCACAGCTGGGATAAGCCTCCTGAAGGAAGAACACAGGATGCCGTGCCACAAGGGAGTCTAACAGGGCCCCCTATGGGTCGGTGGTTGATCAGAGAAAGTGCCTTAAGAAATATGTCTAAGCTGAGACCTAGAGGGTGAGGGAGGGTTGACAAGGTGTGTGTGTGTAGTGAGGGGGGCTCCAGGTAGAGGGGGCAGGGGGCAGGTGGTGCAAATGCCCAGCGGTGGGAAGGAGCTTGGGGTTTCTGAGGGACAGAGAGAAGCCTGCAGAAGGTGGTGGGGTCCCAACCACACAGGAAAATATTTGGGTTTTACCCTAAGTAACTGCGGAGCTGAGGAAGCTGTTGAGGGGAGAGACTGATCTGATTTGCACTTCTTTTATGATTATTTTTTATTGTAGGGAATTTTGAGCAGACACAAAAGTAGACAATTATAATAATCCCATGTGCCCCACCCACCCCTGGCTAAGCTCGCCTCACCCTTACCCCCACCCACTTCCCCCTCGTCTGTATTATTTTGAAGCAAAGCCCAGACATATTTATATCATCCATAAATACTTCAGTACACATCTCTAGATGATAGGACTTTAAAAATAATAAAACCACCATACGTCATCACATTTAAAAAATAATAAAAATTCCTTATCCTCATTTAAAAAAAGGATGTTTTTTACATTTTTGGAATTGTGTTCAAAATAAAGAAATCAAAGAATATACCTGAAAAGCCACTGATAGGGATCAGAGAATACATCCATAAGTTAAAATTACGTATTTTAATATAACAAAAATTGTGTCAATTACCTGCTCATAGTTTAAACGTTGAATTTCTGGCATTTCTTTTGGCTTTGTATCAAGCATGTAATCTCCTGTAAAGAGAAATTGTAAAATTGCCTTTTAAAAATGTTTTCTTTCTAATTACGAAGGTAATATATTTTAATGATAAATTATAGCAACGTGCGACATACAAAAGTGACTCCGCAATTCCATTCAGAGAAAATCAATGTGAACTGTTAGTCACAGTCTCACATAAATTTTTCCAGTGTACATCCTACAATGCTTTGGAATTTTTTCTTACCCTTTACAATATATTTGAGCATCTTGCCATGTCACTACAATAAAGCTCTAAAAGGTTTAACCAAGTTTCATCAACAAGTGTAACTATCACCTCCACACCTTTCCAAGAACAGGCATTACCACTCTTCTAAATGTCTGCCATTCTTAGACGTAAACAAACTTTTCCTTACATTAAAAAAAACTGATATCTTAGAGATTACCTGTGGAGAGAGGGAAGGGGGAGGGGCAACACAGGGGTACGGAACTGAAAGATACAAACAATGATATACTGTATAGCACTTGGAATTATAACCATTATCTTGTAATAATTTTTAACAGAGTATAATCTATAAAAATACTGAATCACTATACTGTATATCTAAAACTAATATAATATTGTAAAGCAACTATACTTCAAAAAGCTTAATAGTTTTTATACATGTACTTTTATTGGTATCACCTTTTAATTAATTAATTAATTTTATTTAAGTATAGTCAGTTTACACTGTGTCAATTTCTGGTGTATAGCATAATGTGCCAGTCATACATATAAATACATATATTCATTTTTATATTTTTTTCATTATAGATTACTACAAGATATTGAATATAGTTCCCTGTGCTGTACAGAAGAAACCTGTTTATCTATTTTATATATAGTAGTTAATATTTCCAAAGCATAAACTCCCAATTTATCCCTTTCCACCTCCTATCCCCCAGTAACCATAAGTTTGTCATCTATGTCTGTAAGTCTGTTTCTGTTTTGTGAATAAGTTCATTTGTGTCTTTTTTCTTTTTTTAGATTCCACATATGAATGATATCACATGGTATTTTTCTTTCTTTTTCT